CGGAGCAAGGGAAGGTTTAGGAGGGATTCCTGAGTTGTGATAAAATCCTCCAAGACCTGGGGAAGGCATTTGCTAAAGGGCATCCGGATGCCCCTTGGGCACAAGCACTACATGTGGCAGAGCAAGGAAAGAAACAAAAAGTATGTTTTTAGCTCTGTTTTCTTTTAATCTTCCCTACTAATTTTTTCCCCTTAAAAAAAAGTTTTGATTGCTCTTTAAGAGACAGATGGAACACATCCTAAGATGAAAAAAAAAAGTCCACTGACAGGTTGAAGGGAAGAAAGAAGGAAAAGAGATAAAGGGATGGATGTGCATTGGGTGTTTTGCTTTCACTTCGGGGGATATTGCCCTAGAATATATAAAAGTGTGAAGCTACATTTATGGAAAGTATAACCATAGACACTCATCATAGACTGTCAGATTAACTCCCTGGTACATAAAGTTGGATGGTTCTCTCGAATACAAAACATTGCCCGTGGAGAGAGGAAGACAATATTGATTCTTGTGAAGACTAAAGGATTGTTTGAGACATGATAAAGTTAGTCTAAAGAACAGCGGGGCCAAATTTCACTAACAAAAGGCTGACTGACAGTTATGTGCTTGAATATGGAAAAATATGTGTGAATTGAATTTGACCAGCAGATGGAGGCTCTGCACCCTTGGCCTAGGCTAATTCGCTTCCACACCACAAATGATCTGTCTCATACTTGCTTTCTCCTAAATTCATTTGACCTCTTTTTGGGAAATCTAAGATTGAATATATGAGTGAGCAAGTTGTGAGTGGGGAAGCAGATATTCGATACTGGTGGCCATGGTGTGCACTGGCTGGAATTTGGTTTCTGGATGTCTTAAGGAGTCAAGATTACAAGAAGCCTGAGCAAAATTTAGCTGAGTTCTTACAGAATTAATGGGTAAATTCTGAAAATTAGAAACAAAGATTCTCCTTTACCTCTCCAGACTGGGATGGGAGGCCTTCAGCCTCCAAATTGCAAGTGGCTTTATAGGATGTGAAGCCTTGTGTAGCATCAGTCCAGGACCTTAATTACAGGTGGTCTGTGGGCTTATATGCTGAGCCATAAGCAATGATACACCTCCATGAGAGTGGGTCACAGGTCTTCTTTTCATCTGTTTCTTTTACCTGGTGCCTCTGCCACCAACTAAATGTACACAAACCTGTCTCTGTAATCCCACTTGACTTTTGCTAGTCAAACTAGAAAAGATTCTCTTGTGCTTAATAAAAACCATGTAATTTCAGACTTTAGCATTAGCAACTCTCTCATTTTATAGATGAACAAACTTAAGCCTGGAGAGGAAAATGAAGTCAATCACCATATATATGTGATTGAGAGAGAGAGAGAGAGAGACAGAGAGAGAGAGACTACTGTGATTCAAGGTGAATAATATGGGCTCTGCCCTCCTGTAGTTTATACCCCAGTAGGAAGTACAGCAAGTAAACAGGTAGTTGTTTGCCCAAGAGTGCATGAATAAAGGCTTGGAAATGGCACCCATGAAAACTGACAACAGGTATACCTTTATTTTGCAATATCCTTGTGGGTAGATCCTGAACTTTGTGTCTAATGTATCTAATGGGGTGTCCTTGGTCCTTGGTCTTAATATATAAGCATAGAGTGTTTGGACAGAGACTCCAGGTAGGCCTACCAGCTCAGACTCTCTTCTGTGAACAACAGTCTCCTGACATCCTGTGTACAGCACTGGCACCTTTTACAAGGATCCACAGTCTCCTCTACTGCATGGAAGACAACATTTCTATCCACCACTGCCACCTAATGACTCTTTTGGCAACTAGCAGCTTTGACTCTACTTCCTGATTTTGAACTCAGGGATTCTGGCCCCAAGCAGAGAGGTATTGACTCTGTGACCTCTAAGGTCCTGTTCCATGTTGGGAGCCTGCGATTTTACAATTGCCTTTGACGTTAGAAGGCAATATTTGTCCATCAAAGAGCAAGAGACCTAAATGAATCTTCCAAAAAACTAGAAATAGAAAACACATCCAGAAGACTAAAGAGCACAGTGTAAATGTAAAGAGCTTAGCAAATGGGGAGCAGGGCAGGCCAGCAGCTGTGTTGAAGCAGGGGCCCTACCTGAATACTTGTTATTCTTTTAGGGGTAGCTCTTCCCTCTTCAGTCATGTACCACATTTTTACTCAACTCTCAAGAACATGCTTTCACTTGATTCTATAATAAATCATAATCTGTGTTCTTACTGGGAATTTTTTCAGCTGCTATTTATTTCAGTATGGTGGAATGACCAAAATTTTTCTTAGTGCATATATAATTTGGTATTCTTCAGCAGTGTACCAAATTTGTCTGTCGTTATTATGAAATAGACAAGGAGGATCAATGCCAACGTGGATCAAATGATGATGAGAAAGAGTGGACACTTGGCTCACTCAGTCACATGCCTTCCCATGTGATTATCAGAACACTGGATTTCCTGGTGTTTCTACATTCACACCCAGGGCTGTTCAGTAACACTACAGGCTTAGTGATAGAACCTGTGGCATCTTTAACGGCTGTAAAAACATTTAACATGAAAATGATGTTTATTGACTTACACACAAGAAAAGTACAAAATAAAAATTAATAATCAATTTAATGTCTGTGAAAATGTACTATTTGTTTCTTAAATTTAGGATTACATCACACTTAAGAATACCTTGACGGTCAAATTTTACACCCATTGTAAGAATTTCTCAATATGTGTGATTACTGCTAAGAAACCAGAGCTGCCCTGGCTGGTTTGGCTCAGCGGTTAGAGCGTCGGCCTGAGGACCAGAGAGTCCTGGGTTCGGTTTCCGCTAAGGGCATGTACCTCGGTTGCAGTTTGTCCCCGGCCCTGGTTGGGGGCGTGTGGGTGGCAGCCACTCTATGTGTCTCTCTCATATTGATGTTTCTCTCTCTTTCTCCCTCTCTCCTTTCCGCTGTATCTGAAGATAAATGCAATAGTGTCCTCGGATGAGGATTGAAAAAAACAAAAAAGAAAGAAATCAGAGCCAATCATAGAGTAAATGAGTTACTCATACACAAACATGAAAAGCAAAATTATAGAAATCGGTTTCAAATGTATAGTGAAAAGTCATTTTTATTATTGAATGTGGGGAGTATATCTATTTGATATAATGTGAGGTAGGACTATGATGGTTTTTAAAGGCTCTGAATGTTCTTTAAATTTTTCTCCAAAGAACAAAAAATATTGTAAGAAACTACCTGCTACAAATACTAAATATTTTTCAATTTTGACATTGTCAAATTTCTTAAGGCATAACGTTTTCAAAGTTCATAAGAAATTTGTTTTCTATTTTGTTATAATCTATGGTTATTTAACTCTGTTTTTAATGATCTGTCATTGAGTTGAAATCATACTGCAGGAAGAAGCATTATATTTACTTTATGGGTGTGTTTGTCTGTGACACACTGCCCCCGGGAAGTGTGAGTTCAGTGTAAACTGAAAGCTCCTGAGAGAATATGGGAGCAAACCTCTTCTCTTTCTTTCTTTCTTTTATCTTTATTGTTGAATGTATTACAGATGTTCCTCATTTTTCCCCCATTGACTCCCTCCTCACCACTACTGCCCCCCTCCTGCCTTTCCCCACACTGTTGTCTGCGTCCATTGGTTTTTGCATATAAGTTCTTTGGTTTATTTCTTCCCACCCCCCAACCCCCTTCTCTTTGAGGTTTGTCAGTCTAGCAACCAATTTGTTCTTCTTAATCCCTTCACCTTTTTCATCCATTTCCCCATCCCCATTCCCCCTCCCATCTGGCAACCAAAAAAAATGTTCTCTGCATCTATGAGAATGTTTCTGTGAGCTATGTATTCATTGCCATTTTTGTTTGTTCATATTTTTTTATCTTTTTCTTCAAGAAGACCCTTCAACATTTCATATAATAACGGTTTGGTGGTGATGAACTCCTTTAGCTTTTCCTTGTCTGGGAAACTCTTTATATGGCCATCGATTCTAAATGACAGCTTTGCAGGATAGAGTAGTCTTGGTTGTAGTAGGTTCTTCTTCTCTTTCTTATTCTTTTGAGGAGGATGTTAAGAAATCATTACAGCAGATAGTAAAAACTTTGACATAATGAAAAGTTCTAAGGAGGTTTTCTTTGTTTGTGTTTTAATCACATAGTAACATCATTTGCCTGTTGTATAACAGTCTGGGTACATTTGTAGGGGAAAGGAGAAAATATTCTCCCAGAATAATCCACATTGTTCCTAATGTGAGAAGCTCCTAAGAACAGCTTGAATTCTTCTTCCTCCAGTCTTCCATAAAAGTTGACCCCAGACCCTCTTCCAAGCATTGCATCAATTCTTCCATGTTTCTGTTTTATCTAAATAGTACACAATAATTCCACCTTTGGCCACAAACCAGCTAATTTTGGGGGAATTAGGTCTGTCTCCCTTCACCTCAAGTTAAAACTTCTCTCAACTGCTCTCCTCATAGTCAGCTGATATATTGACTTGAGTACCCGGAATTCTGTCTTCAACAATCCTCTGACTGACCCTACCCTGGGCTCAGGGTTCCCTAAAAGTTCTTCTTCTTCGTAGCTCCCACCTCCTATCTTAGGGAGGCATTTGGTGTGTCTTAATAGTCTGTGTTTTCTAGGACCTAGCACACTGCTTGGTGCCCAGTAGGGGCTTATGTAATATTTGTTATTAAATTCATTAATAAATGAATTAAAGAGCATGAATGGATATTATAATGCTATGGCTGATAGAAAGGCAGGTATTTAGTGAGTCTTGAGGGATAGGAAAGAATGGTTGGGCCTGGAAGTTGTGTTCAGGAAACTTAGATGGATTTTCCAAAGGAATGGATTGACAAGACATGTGAGATTAATGAGGAAGAGAAAATAAAAGATACAATTAGGTGACTGAGGATACCTGACTCATGATGCCCTATCAGAGAGAAAAGCCCCTGTCCTTTTAGCCTAATTTGCCCTTTTAGCCTAATTTGCCCTACCATACCTCCTTTTGCCCTTGGCAGGAGCCTTTGTTGGAAGAGATGATGATGGGCCTGGGTCCCCTGTTGTTGGTCTTCATGCTGTGTGTGGGTCTGACCCCGCCTACCCTAGCTCAGGATGAGAGGTACACACACTTCCTGAAACAGCACTATGATGCCAACCCAAGAGGTCGGAAGGACATATACTGCAACGAGATTATGAAGCAGCGAGACCTGACTTCACCCTGCAAAGACAAAAACACCTTCATTCATGGCATCAGGAACCACATCGATGCCGTCTGTGGAGACAAGAATGGAATACCTCACGAAGGAAATTTAAGAATAAGCAAGTCTCCTTTCCAGGTCACCATTTGCAGGCTTAGTGGAGGTTCCCCCCGGCGGTGCCGATACAGAGCCACAAGAGGGTCCAGAAACATTGTTATTGCCTGTGAACATGGCTTGCCTGTCCACTTTGATGAGTCCTATTATCGTCCATAACCAGCAGGCCGCTGGCCAGAGCTGGCTCTGCCCTCCACTCCTTGCATTTCCCCTACACACTCCAGAACGGCGGTGGCAACATTCACTGCCAGGGGCCCAGAAAAAGAGCCTGAATCTTTTGTTTTCTGTTTTAAAACATGTGAATAAATAAAAATGTCTCTAAAATCAGTAAGAATCAAAGTCTTCTCACCAATTCTTGGCCTATTGCCTTTTCCCCATTTTCTTTACTCAACTGTCCCCTGAGAGGATTGGATGGAATACAAATGCCTTTTTCCCTATTAGTTAGTTCCTTTCCATCAATAGGGAGGTAGACATTACCTTTCAGTGAGTGTAAGGATGTTAAATTCATCTTACAGAGAAAGCTGGCAAAATTCCAGGGCTCGTGGCTGCTAAGCAGAATTCTCAGGAGGGGCAAATTGTTTCTTGCTGTCAAATAGGCCATTTTACTTTTACAAATGTTAAACTTTGAGAAATAGTGTTTAGGACTAAATATTAACAGATTAATTAAACTTTCTCTCTACCTCTCTCTCCCTCTCCAACATACACACACACACACACACACACACACACACACGCTCCTGCATGAATATCAAAACTCATTCTTGGTAGGCACCTCTTGTCTTAGGCAGGAGGTAATTTTGAGTTGCTTTGACTAGAATTCTTGTGGTCATTTTATATAAAGATAAAAAATTTGATTGTTTCACATTGTTTTTATTTTTTAATCTTTTATCAACTGATGTCTGGCAACTGTGAGATCTTTGAGAATTCATAGAAAGATTCCAAGCTTATCTCTTATTCTTCTTCAGCTAGATTTGTTTTCAAGTAAACACAAACTGAGGTGAACAGACACTCTCTTTATAAAATATACCAATCAATTAACAGATTTAGTGGTTAACCTCCTGTTACCCAATTTCTATCAACAGGTGCTTGGATATTTTATTTAGAAAGTAGCTGTTAATAAATTACAGTAGTTTTAATAAATTACAGTTATAAATATCTAGTTTTACTGTCTTGTGAATATGAGACTGCGGTGGTCATAGTATCCCCAATGGTGGCCTCTTCTGCTGCCTACATTACCCTGAAATGGGAAAAAAGCTTCCTCAATACCCAGGTTATATATCAGTGTCCAGGTGCCACCTGGGAGAGTCCAGCCTCTCTGAAAGTATTTAAATTTATGGAAGAAGAGATGGAGAAGTAAATTACTGGTGCACACTCAACACATGAATCTTTCTACCTTGAGTTACTCTATTTTAAAGTTGAAATCACTGTCATTTCCTAAGAAAGTAGGGAGAAGAGTTTTTCAAACCTCTCTTAATGGAAAATTTGCCTTATTGTAAAATCTCAAAAACCCCTTAGGAAGTGAGAAAGGTCCAATTTTTTGTAGACTAGTTGGGCCCTCTTCCCAGATTCTCCAACCTATACTATCTCCTTGATATAAGGCAAGGTGACTTCCATACAGATCAATGACCTACTCAAGGCCTTGATGGGAAAGGCCAAAGGTATGGACCATTGTTATATTGAGTATGCCATAGCTGTGAAAACGCACATTTCCAAACATCTACTTAAAGCATCATCATTGCATACTCTGGTCTGGTGTTAGGGCAAATGACTGTTTCCTAGGAAGTCACACGGCAATGGGATAGGGCTGCTTTTTGACCTGCTGAAGGAGCTGGCAGCTGGGTAGCCAATCCTGGCACTTTTTGCTCTGGGTCTCTTGTTCTCTCACACATAAGCTGTTTGAAATCCCATTTGACCCAGTGATCCCATTTGACCCAGTGATCCCACTTCTAGGAATATACCCTAAGAAGCCTGAAACACCAATCAGAAAGAATATATGTACCCTTATGTTCATAGCAGCACTATTTACAACAGCTAAGATCTGGAAACAGCCCAAGTGCCCATCAGTAGACGAATGGATAAAAAAGCTGTAGTACATGTACACAATGGAGTACTATACAGCTGTAAGAAAGAAAGATCTCTTATCCTTTGAGATGACATGGAGGGACCTGGAAAGTATTATCCTAAGTGAAACAAGCCAAGCAGAGAAAGACAAATATCACATGATCTCACTTATTTCTGGAATATAAAGAACTAAACAAACTGATGAACAAAACAGACCCAGAGACATAGAAGTAGGGTACAGACTGACATTCCTCAGAAGGGGGGAGAGAGGGATAAACCACAGAACTTATATGCATGTATGCATGACCAATGAACATAGACAACAAAGCTGGGGACGGGGTGGGAGGGTATAGGGAGGAGGGAGTCAATGGGGGGGGGGGAGGGAAAACATCTGTAACAAAAAAAAAGTTAATAAAAAAATTCTCAAAAAAAAATATATCATGTGACAGGCAAGTCAGTCTTTATCTCAAGCGAATCATTTGAGGAATTCAAGTCCTGGTCAGCCGTGCTTTGTTGGCTTTGCAAGGAAAAGAAAACAAAAATCTCAACATGCCAAGACCTTTGAAGAATGGTAACAAACAAGGAAGAAAATTCCACTCCAATGTGAAAAGAAAAATTTTCTATAGGGATACAGCATAAATTCTAGTAGCTGAGATATTTCACCTTAAAAACAGCCTTCTAATCTTGAAGGAATACAAGTACGCTACAAAATAAAGGTGAAGGGAGCAATAATATTTGCAACTTGGTGTAGTCATTCATTGTTTTATCCAGATCGAAGGAAGCAAAGGAAACAAAGAAAAATGAAAATTGCAAAAATGATCATTGCCAATATTTACTGAGCATTTACCATGTACTAGGCATTGTGACAAGCACTTAACATTGATTTTATCACTTAGTCTTCATAAGATCCCTAAGAGGTCAGTATTATACTTACTTATGAAGAAATATGCTGAGAGAGGTTAAGTAATTTCCCCAAGATCATATAGTTAATGTGGCAGAGCTAGGTCTTTGGGATCACAGCTTCCAAAGAAGTTCTTATTGAGAATCAATGTGGTACAGTGGGAAAAGCCTTTGGGGCAAGCTCTGACCAAAAAGTATGTGTTGGAATGATTTGGAGATCATTCTTTTTTTCTGTTGTAGCTAGAGCCTTGAGATACACCCATTGATGTGTACATTGGACTTCGGTTCGCAAATATTTGTCAATGACTTGCTAAATCAGTTGATTAGTGTGACTGGGGCCACGGGTTTGCTGTTGCATGAATAGTTTAGGTCTTCTCTGTAGCCAGTTATCTTATTAAATCATATCTTGGGCACAAAGAAGCAGGATGAGAAAAAGTAGACAGAACCGCGCAAAATCAGAGGTTCAAGATTAACCATGCAAGATGAGATTTGGGGAAAATAACCCAAAGTACATTGTTGTGATGAAGCTATCACCCAAGTGCTGACTTTACCTTCAGAAGTTCTACCCACTCGTCTTGGGGGGAGGAATAAATCAAGCATCATGTCTCCATGCTACTCTCCTTTCCACAACTGTTTGCTTCTTTCTCTTCCTAACGCCGTATCTCATAACTACAGCAGTAGGCACTGGAATGTGACATAGAGCTTTCTAGCTTTCTATGCACAAGCAAAAGGTAGCTGTGAATAAAGGAGGTAGCATTTGAAAGAATGAAGTTATGTTTGATGCTAGTCTGCAGGTCTCTCATCAGCCATTTCAGTCATGCCGTGGGACCTGCCACCGTGAAGCAGCACCATTGAAAACAAAGGACAGTGGTGCCAGGAGTTCAGCTGAGGCCAGCCCTTGAGCTGCATATGTAGAAATGTGCCTGTATGACTGTCAAAACATTGTCCTTTCTGTTTTGGGTTGCTCACTTCCTGTTGAATCAGAGATGATTTTTCTTTGCTGTAGTGCAGCGATTTTCAACCTTAGATTGTCAAATAAAAAAATGACAACACTCAACATAATAGCCGCCCAATGTGAATGAATCAAAATGCCTATTTTATCTTGTCAGATTGGCAAATAATATAATATATTTTTTGGTGTGCTGCAGAATTTTAGTAACTAATTTATGTGTACCATGGGATGAAAAAGGTTGAAAATCGCTGCTCTAGTGAGTCAGGCCTCCCTTACTACCAGGGTCAAATAGAGTCTCAGTTCATGAGTTTATGCCAATCCCAGAGGTGGCCACCAGATGGCAGCATCTAGTTAGCGTAGTGTTGGTGAGTAGTTCCTACTTCCACTCCAGCCCTATTCCACCCCTGATTAAACTCTGTTGCTAGAGAGAAGCAACTCTGAACCTAAATGTCTTTAATATCCTGAATATTTGGGGGAGTAGAATGAGAGAGGCAGTAGAAGATGTGGAAAAGCACAGATTTTAGAGTCAGATAGCTCTGGATTCCTTTCTTTACTTGGTCAACAGAAGCAATGTTCTGGAATATATGGCAATGCTGTCTTCGTTGTGGCTCTAAAGGTTTTTGTTTATTTTTTGACTCTGTAAAACATATGTTTATTTTCCACTGCCAAAAGTGCCAACAAAAGATTCTATAACTAGAGAAGACTAACAACTACCAACAACTGTTTACAAGACAGACAGACCATCAAGGATAGACGTGTGATGATGGAACATGTCGCCAAGGCCTCGTTTTCAGGTTTTGCATAGAAACAGCAAGGAAAAAAGACACAGTCCAAGTCCTCTTTTGTGGAGACTGTGCTGTTGAGATTTTTTTTTTCCTCTTTCTCTCTCTTTTTTTTTTTATCCTCACCCGAAGACATTTCTGCACTTATCTTCAGATAGAGCGGAAGGTAGAGAAGGAGAAAGAGAGAGAGAAACATCAATGTGAGAGAGACATATCAAGTGGCTGCCACCCACACGACCCAACCAGGGCTGGGGACAAACTGCAACTGAGGTACATGACCTTAGCAGAAACCGAACCCAGGACTCTCTGGTCTGCAGGCCAATGCTCTAACCACTGAGAAAACCAGCCAGGACAAGATTTATTTTTTAATTTCTTTATCAGTCAATCCCACAAGCCTGGGAAACACCTTCATTCTCTATACTCATTTCATTTTATTTGATTTGTTTATTAGCTCACTCATTTTGTTTATGAGTTCACTCAGCCAATATTTACTATCTTCGAAGCACTATGGCTGGGTACTCTGTTTTTTATTTTTTATTTTTTTTATAGGAGTAACAAGGTTTGCAAAAGGACCTGATTGTAATACCATTAACAGAATAGCCACATGGGTGAAAAGAGTGAAGGAATTAAGATGTACAAATTTCCAGTTTTTTGTTTTTGTCTGAAATCCTCACCCGAAGACATTTTTTGCATTCATCTTCAGATAGAGCAAGAGAGAGAGAAAGAGAGAGAGAAACATTGGTGTGAGAGAGACACATTGAGTGGCTGCCACCCACACAACCCTAACCAAGCAGGGGACAAACTGCAACCGAGGTATGTTCCCTTAGCGGGAACCGAACCGGGGTCTCTCTGGCTCGTGGGCTGACATTCTAACGGCTGAGCCAAACTGGCCAGGGCCAAATTGCCAGTTTTAATAACATTCATGGGGATGTCAAGTAAACACAGGGAATATAGTCAATAACATTGTAATAACTATGTATGGTGTTGGATGGGTACCAGATTTATTGGGGTGATCACTTCCTAAGGTATATAAATGTCTAATCACTATGTTGTACACCTAAAACTAATATAATATTATATGTCAACTGTAATTGAAATTTTTTTAATTTAAAAAAAAGAATAGACACATGAGAGGAAAGGCTAAACCTAAACATACTCTGTCCTTTTTCTGCACTTTCCTCAGTTCCCAGATGTCAGGAATTAAATTCAGTTCATAAGCTTTCATTGACCTAAACTTTTGAAAATCAGAGTCTCCAGGGAACCAAACACTCTCCAAACATCACATGACTAGAGAATTCCCTCAAGAGACAGACAACTCCAATTTCATTTAGATCTGCCTTTTCTCCCTTTTCACACCCTGACCATACAGGACATATATTCCTAGACATCCACCCGGTCAGTCTCTGCCCTGACACTGTACTGGCTGCAGCAGCTTCTCTATTTTTTTTTTTTTTTAAAAAGGCTCTTGTTTTCAGAGAAGATCATGTTTGCAAACTTTATTCTTGGGGAAGCAGTGATGAGAAAAATTGTGAGCAGAGAAGAGTGGGGAGGGAAGAATAGACTATAAAGTTGAAGAAATGTCAGCTTGCCATTCTCAACACCTCTCCCTGGTGCCCATTTGTTACCTTCCTTTCTCCCGCCCCTTGGTTTCTCTCCAGGCACCTCCAAAGTAGTGATGGCTCTCCAGAAGACCCTTTCATTGCTTCTGCTCTTGCTGCTGACCCTGCTGGGGCTGGTGCAGCCCTCCTATGGCCAGAATCGCATGTACCAACGATTCCTGCGACAACATGTGGACCCTTTGGCGACAGGTGGCGATGACAGCTACTGCAACTTGATGATGCATAGACGGAAGATGACTGGGTTTCATTGCAAGCAATTCAATACCTTCATCCATGAAGACATCTGGAGCATTCGTAGTATCTGCAGCACCACCAATATCCAGTGCAAGAACGGCAAGATGAACTGCCATGAGGGTGTAGTGAACGTCACAGACTGCAAAGAGACAGGAAATTCCAGGGCCCCCAACTGCAGATATCGGTCCATGGCCAGCACTAGGCGTATTGTCATAGCCTGTGAGGGTAACCCACCGATGCCTGTGCACTTTGACAGATAGATGCTACCTTGCAGGGGATATGGCCCCGTGGTTGACCTTTAATTTGCTTCTTGAATAGCAATGAGTAATACATTTAAGCTCTCCCAGGCTCTGTCTCCTCTGCTTATGTCTACTTGTTTATCTCTGTATAATCCATTCTGTTAAATGCATCAAAGAGAAATGGAGACATAAACCTATAATGGGACTGGGCTCTTCTGTAATAAACATTTCAGTAAACTCTTCTGCTTCCTTTAATAATACTGGTCAGCTTAGCTCTCTCAGATCCTATCCTCTGTAATTTAGTCATTATATTTTTATAGCATTTTAAGTATTTCAAGGTACTTTCATCTCAGTTATCTCATTTTAATACCACAGCACCCCTGTGATGCTGATGTTGTTATATATAGGAGCCCAAAGTTAAGGGATTTGCTAAAGACCATGAAGTTAATGGAAAAATGGAGCACAAAATCCACTTCAACTGGTTATTAATCTAGAGCTTTTTTTTTTTTTACTTCATCACAAGGAGTGTTTTGAAAGTATGTGCTTTTTTATATTCCCAAAAGTCAACTGCTGAGAAAGCATTAAAAATTTGGAACTCTGTATTGGCAAAATGAGAGCTCTATCTGTATAATTTGGCAACCTTGTTATGTTGGGTCTAATGAGATTAAGAAATGATGCAAAGAATTTTCTTTTGCTCTTCCTAAACTTTTGAATCACTATAGTAAGTGAGAGTATTACCAATGTACTAGATCATTAAGACTTAGTCACTCTTCCTGACTGAAAGATTTTTTATGTTTTCCTTATAATAAAGAATTCAAACTGCAGGTATCTGTGAAGACAGTGCTATGGTTCTTGTGTGGGGGGCTTTTTTTAAAAAATTCTATTCTCTTGTAATTCTTCTCTAGTTTATAAACTTGCACCAAAACCTTAATACCCTCATAAACTCTGGTCCATGACAAAAGCCTATCGGATCGATGGCCATGACACAGAAACATTTGTGTCATTTACTAAAAACATTCTCACACCCCTCCCTTCTCCCTTTGAATGTTTTAAAACAAATTGGGGAACAGAGACATGTGAAGATGCCATCAGCTAAAGAAGGGAAGTATGTGTGTGAGTGTGTGTGAGTGTGTGTGTGTGTGTGTGTGTGTGTGTGTAAAAGGACTAAGCTAAAAGCATTTGAATTATAGCAGATATACATTGTTTATATTTAAAGTGTGCGACCTGATTCAGTTTACTCATGCATTGTGAAAGAATCACTACAATCAAGCTAATTCGTGTATCTATTACCTCACATGGTTACCAAATGTGACTCCATTTTGGACTGTTTTCAACACTACTGAATATCATAGCTCAGCCCAACCAGTTTCTACTGAATGCATGTTGCTTTCGCATCATTGTAAAGTCAAAAAATCATAAGCATAAAAAATCATAAATAGAATTGTGAGTCACTTTTGGTAAGCCATGTCTCTAAACCAAAACTTAATGCCTAACCAACTCTCAGTTTCAGCCTCTTCCAGAAGCGGAATGTTGAACCGCCTAATCTAGAATTTCCTGATCAGCACTGGTGAGGTAATCTGCCTGGCAAGACCCCCTGCCTTCCCCTGAATGAAGGTGTCTTTACTTAAAATAATCCTCTCTTTTAACTTCTTAGTCCTACCCTCTTTCTGCCTATAAAAATCTTCCATTTTGTACAACTCACTGGAGCACCTTTCTAGTTGTTAGATGGGATGCTGCCCGATTCCTGAATTGCTTAATATAGCCAATTAGATCTTCACATTTGGTTGAATTTTGTTCTTTAACACCTGCCCCCAGAACCTTGCCATTCCTTTGTACCTAGAAGACTGTCTTTGATCTATGGCACCTTTGCTCCAGGCTGTTCTCAGAGTGAACCCAAGCGTTCTGGATGAGAAGTCAGAGAAACAGGTTCACATAGGTGATGCTCTCAACCCCCCCCACCCCACCCCCGACCACCACCACCACTGCCAATCAGTTGGAACACTGCACCTCCTATATTTATTCTTTTCTTCACTGCTACAGACGTCTTGGCTCTAAGAGAAGGAAAAGGACACAGACTCTTCTTTAGATTCACATACTGATCCCCACCACGGCCAGTGAATGTGAGTATTGATCTGAATAGAGTTGGAAGGTTTGGTACTGAGGATGGTTGGGGAAAAGCTCAGGAACACTTGACTGGATTTCTAAATGGTAGAGTTCAGAAGGCAAGGTGATCCTACTTGTAAGAAGCAAAGACCTGAATTTAACTCAGTATTAATCTCACTGATTCACACCTCCCTTCCTCCCCAATATTTTCGAGCATAATACATTGAAGCAGACTGAATCCTGGTCTTCTCATCCTGTTTAGGCCATTTGAGCTAGGGATAGTCAGAAATGAGAAAGTGTCCATCCCTTGTTCTGTGTCTGATGTAGCACTTGACACCCTCAAAAGTGCTCTCACACAAATATCATTAGACCCTCACAGGTCTCTAAGGGAGCTATTATTTGGCTCATTTGAGGATGCCAACTCTAAGATAGTCGAGAATCAGGTTAGAGTTTCCGTAGGACTCCTCGTGGCAACAGGACAGAGAGCTGGTTTAAAGGGGAGACTTTTTCAAACATCTCTAGGCCCTGATTTTGACCAGAGTAGCTCCCGTAAGGGCAGTTTTGATCTTGGCACTTGGTTGGTTAGAACAATATCTCAAAACTGGATTTCTCTTATGATATGGTATTCTTAATGGCAAATAAAGACCATTCATCGGAATGATGATTAGGGAAATGGCCTCTGAGAAGGGACTTGGGTAGTCAGAAGGGATCACATGTTTCACATAGGTCTGGAGGAAGTGATATAAGGAAGACTAGCTTAGATGAGCACCATCTGCAGAGTCAGTTTTATTCGCAGCCTGGGATTTCAGGGAACCAAAGCCTTCCTACTTGGAAAATGTCTCCCAAGTCTACTCATCTACTTCACGGACATAAAACTTAAAATACCAGTCTCTTTCAGAAACACTCTCTTATGAGAACCCATCTAGACTGTAAAACAGAACTAATCAGAGCACTCCTTGGTTTGGACAGAAGAGAAGGCAGAAAGGAGGTGTTTGAAATTCTCAACATGAAGTTCGTTTATATTCTACAATTTTGTTCTTGTCTCACTCAGGCTCTAGCATATTTTTAGTTCTTATAAATTTTAGTATCTAGTGAGACTTAACATCTACTCTGGAATCAAATGGTAAAATGGGCCTAAGTGTCTCCTTTGGCAAGGAAAGGAATTTTAAGATGGAGCTCAGCTCTTAGGGTAGTGTTTCAATAATGCTTTCCTCTCTCTTCCATGTAGACCAGCAAGTGACCCTGGTGACTGAGATGTCATGCTCTCTAAAAGTCCTAGGCCCTCTCTTGTTCCTGTTGTTTCCCTTATGTGGGCTCCTTGTACACAGCCAGAACCTTTCCTGGAGGGAATTCATGAAACAGCACCACCTGAGCACAAGCTGGGATTTCAGTGAGTACAGATGCAATGATCTCATGAGAAAAAGAGAGGCTCCGACAGACAGGAATGATCACATCTTCATCTATACTTTATGGCACAAAATCGAGCACATATGCATCAGGAACTGGAGAGATCGATACAGAAATGTTTACATATGGGCCCAGTATCCCTTCAAAGTACTCAAGTGCTACCCAAAGAATAACAAAAAGAGCTACAAAGAGCACAGGAGCTACAGCTACATTGAATTTCACTGTGGCATGAATGGATTTGTTGACAGCATAGAGGACATCCGGTTGATAGAGGTTATCAGCAACTAGAATGTTTACCCACACTTTCAGATTTTAGTAGAGTTGTTAGTGGTGGGCTCTGCTCAAATCAATAGACCTTATAAATCCTTACTTAGCATTTAGGTGCCGCCAATGTTTTCCAACTACTTGGAGTTATGTATCACATGGTTTCTTGATATCATAACTTTACCTGTGTTGGTTCTCTGCCTGGAAAATCCTTCCCTCCTCATTCACCTGCTTTAGAGTTACTTTTTTTTTTTTTTTTTAAGATTCAGCTCACATGACTTTTTTTTTTACTAACCCAGGAATTTTCCTGATATTGACTCCTTACCTTACCCAAGCCGAATAATTTTCCCTTCCCTAAATAAACTATATCATTCCAATGTGTGTGACATTTATATATGTTATGTGTGAATAAGTGTTAGAGGTGTGTGTGATATGAGTTATGCTTGGATGTGATTTGTACTGTGTGTAAGTTTAAAGTGGGTGTTATATGTGTGTGATATGCTTATGTGTATGATGAGAATGTAAATGTTTATGTGCTAAGCTGGGGAAAAGTTGTGACCTAGGCATTGATTGTGTTGACATGCTGAATTTCACTCAGATTGGGGGGTGTGGGCAGAGCTGATTTAGTATAACATGTAGTATGGTCTCCTGACTCATAGCACGTGCTCAGTCAACATTGGTTTTCTTCCTTTCCCATTCTTTGGCTTGGTACTTTAATTTTGACTTTTATAAAACCAATATCACAAGTGCCCATCAATCATCTCCTCTCCCTTGCTTGAGAAGATAGAGGTTTCTAATATAAAAATACAGTAGGCTGTCATCTGTATGAAAGCTGTAAGTTCCCAGGATTATAAAGAAACTTCTCCATCAGCTATAGAATGACAGAGGTTCCTACTGGACTCATTTGTTAAGAATATCTCTAAGGAGCCCAACTGCTCTGGTTCAGTTGGTTGGTCATCATCCCATACACTAGGTTTAACTCCAGGTCAGGGCACATGCCGGGGTTGCAGGTTCCATCCCCAGTAGGGGGCATGCAGGAGTCAGTCAATAACTGTTTCTCTCTCCTGGATGTTTCTATATCTCTCTCCCTCTCCCTTCCTCTCTCTGAAATCAATCAATAAATTTTAAAAAGAGTATCTAAGGAGGCCAATTCATTTTAGCTGGCTTAAGGCCTTATGTTTCCTGAGGAATAATACATTATGTAGAAGATATGAGCACAATTGAGTTTATCTGATAATAATCATTTTTACTTGGCAGAGGAATAGGGTGGGGTTAGAGAACTTGAAAAGGCACCTGTTCTCAGGAAGGAGGCTCAAGCTGCGCAGGCGCACACTCCCGCGTGCGACGTGGCGGCCGCGGCCCCTCCGCGAGCTCGAGAAAACGTGAATTGGCAGCCACGGCCACGGAAGCCTCCGGCCCGAGGACAAGGCAGCCAAGGTAGCCGGCACTGGAAACGGCACGTCCGCCCCTGCCCACTTTCTTTTCTCCGGCTTTAGAGTGAAAAGCGCCGAGGGAGTCCTTGCGGGACAAGATCCTGTACCTACACGGCCAGGCGGACGAGGGACGCCTTTGTGATCCTGGAGAAGACACCACTCCGGGCGGAACAGGTGGCCCAGCCCCTGGTGGGCAGCCTGAACTCCGGTGGCAGTTCTCCGATGAAATTACAGCCCCCAGCGCATGTTCCTCTGAGGCCACCGAGCGAGGCTGCCTCCTGCTGCTCCAGGCTGGACGGCTGGTTCTCAGGCCTCCTTCCGCCTAGACGGGCGTCACCGCTTCCCGAGAGGCAGAGGAGAGAAACGGAAACAGAAACGCCAGGCGGCCCTCGCTGGTTTGGCTCAGCGGTTAGAGCATCGGCCTGCGGTCCAGGGAGACCCGGGTTCGGGGGCATGGACCTCGGTTGCAGATGTGTCCCCTTTCGCGTCGATGTTTCTCCCCCCCCCCCCTACCCCCACTCTATCTGAACAAAAAATGGAAAAATGTCCTCAGGTGAAAAAAAAAAGAAACATCAATCAGCTGCCTCCTGCACGCTCCCTGCTCCACGCTCCCTGCTGGGGATCGAGCCCTAACCACCCCCACCCCCACCCCCACCCCACCCGCATGCGCCCTGACCCAGAATCCTCTCAGTCCACAGGGTGGCGCTCAATCTACTTTGCCACACGGACCAGGCAGGCTGCTGGTTTTCCCTCCACATAGCCCGTCACCTGCTCTGGGCCTAAGCTTCCTTGAGTGTTATCTCCTCCATTCACATGCTGCCTCCCACCCCTTAACTTTGGGAAATGGGTTACATGGGTTACAGTCTCTCAGTCTGCTCCCTCCCACTCTTATTCCTGTAGCTGTTACAGATTTGTTCCCTTTTGTATTTCACAACTGCTATTGCAGTGGGTTTTTGAAATGGCCTGAGAGCCACTATTAAGTAGGAGTTGGTGGCCTTCCATGTATGTATAGTTATGTTAGGTGGGGGTCTCTACAGACGTAGGCAGCTTCGGCCATAGAGAAGTTACCCCGTGAGGCCACACCCAGATAGAGCTGGTGTTGGTGGGCTGAGACAGACAGACACCTCAGTTTCTCATGCACAATGGGGTAGGGTATACATTAGACATGTCCAGAGCCAGAAGATTGTAAAACTTGTGTTCCTTTGACCTAGCATTTCTACTTCCAGGTACCTGACTTGAGACAATTGCTCACACACATGCACAAAAAGATGCAAGAATATTCATTGCAGCATCATTTGGGATAGAAAAAAAAAAAAACAACCTCAGTGACCCCTGTTGGTGGCAGGGGTGGGGGGCTGGTTAACAGGGTGCATTGGTAGTGGGGGCTTCTAGGCATTTAATACAGAGGAGGAAGGAGATCTGTATGAACTGTCGTGGAAGATCTCTGAAGTCACATATACCCATAAAGGATTATCCCACTTGTGCCCAAAAAAACTTTTATGTAGGTATGTTCATATTTATGCAAACTCATTAAAGAAAATATTGGAATAATGGGGAAAAAAAAAAGAATGAGGCTCAAGACTTAGACTTTGTTGGAGGGAAAAGGAAGTAAATTGGAGGATGAAATATTGAGGGCACAAGTAAGTAGAGTCCATCAGAATTCTGTTTGCTAAATGGGGGAGACACAAAGTAAGAGGAATATTCGCTTCATATAATTTTGCCTAAGGCAGGTATGAGGAGAAGAAATACCAAACATTAAAGTATAGTACTTTGTGTTCTTCAGCTTCCTGTATTGCTGAGTGACTCCAGCCTGGAAACAATTAGAGAAAAGGCCATGGTATTAACATTTTCAATTAGGTAACTGCACATCTACCTACAACTCAGGCCTCAATGAGTAGCCAAAGAATGTAGCGTGGTTATAATGGTTCCAAGGCAGCTCCTTAGCTTTGCAGTTTTTCAGTGCACCTGGGGCTGAGCAGACATCAGGGAGATGGTGACCTATACCAACCAAACTCACAAGAGATCAGTGTTAACCCAGTAGTTCTTCATCAATGATCAATTTACATATGGAGAATACTGATTGTTTTTTTCACTTAATAAATGCTGTTTCAAAATGTAGTAACATATTTTGGGGTGACATACTTTGTTCTTCTACAGTCATATTTTAGGGTGGTCTATTCTGGTCTCCTATGTTAAGTTTTCACAAATACCTCATTTTAAAAACTCTTTAAAAGTTGCTTTTATTAAAGGGTTTAAAGATGGTTCAAAACAGTATAGGAGCAAAATGGATTTAAGTGTATTTAGTATAAATATTATGTGTTGTTGCTTGAGCTTTCTCATATCTATTTACCCCTATTTGGATAGCTGCATATTCACTCCTTTAGGGAACTATCCTTTCTCTTTCCATGAACAGTCCATTAAGGTTCCCAATATCCTCTACAGAGCCAAGTGATCGTCATGAGAGTCAAGCTAAACTATCTAGACACTCTTATAGAAGACCAGAATATTCCACCCTAAAGTAAGCCTCTTTAGTTTAAAAATTATTTTGAGAAACAGTAGACATAGGAGAATGTCTGAAAGGAGAGAATAAATTACCCTTTTGTAGATGGGGGGATAAAAGAGGTTCTATGGAGAGCAACCTCTTAAGATGATCTGATCATAAATTTCTAACTGAGCAGGTCATGGTGGGTAGTCAGCCCCAGGCATTATCTTTTTAGAAAAAGTCACCTAAGTAAGCCCTGTCCATTTTTTTGGTATATGCTTCTACCTTTAAAATAAGCAGTAACCACCCTCAGAAGGGCACATAATCCTGTTAACTATTCTGTAACCCAATCCCTACCTTGTTTTCTCCTACCTCTTCCTTACTTTCCTTCTTTAATTTCAAATGTATAAAGGAAGTTGTTACTCTCCAGATATTTTAGATCTTGTCCCCCAGCATATGTTGTCAGTTTGGCTCAAATAAACTCTTATAAAAATTCTCCACCAGTAAATGTAAATAGACACTTCTGTAGGGTAAATTTAGTTACAAAAAAAAAAAAAAATTCTCTATTTGTAAGTGTGTTTCTCTCTCTGTACCAGGAAGAAAAAGATGACTCTAGGTCACAAGAAACTCTTATTAATGGATAATGCAAAGAGTTACATCTGCATAAAAAACTTTACCCGGGTTTACTGTGCTTTGCCTGGTCACCTTTCCATAACTTGCCTCTCCCATACTCTTCTTCCTTTGTTTAGCTGAAGATGGTATGTAAGCCCAAGTTCCAACCACTTCTTTGAGTTACTCTCTCTGAGTTTTTCTCATGTATGTAAGAGATACTCATGCTAACGACTTGTTTGTTTTTCTCTTGTTAATCTGCCTTTTGTTACAGAGGGTTTAGCTAAGAACCTAGAATGATAAAAGAAAAATATTTTTTCTCCCCTATAATGTCTTCAGAGTCTGAATTTCAAGTAGTGATGCAGGATTTTTTTTAAAAAATGAAGTGGATTTATGTCCATTACACTCTGATCTCCAGTTCACCTAAACTCATTAGGTTCCAGCTGTTTCCAAAGACCAATTCTTCTGCTGTATTTTTTTTATATATACTGTAATCTTTCCCAGATTCTTTCAATATCCCCACCCTAATCTCACCATCATTTATAATATTTTTCCCTTAAGTTAGCTCAAATTGGTTTGGCTTACTTGCAACCAAAAACTCTAACGAATAAACTCTATCCACAACATTTGTGATTTTCATGATCACAAGCATGATTATGCCATTCAAATGTTGGTATTCTTAAAGAACAAACAAACAAAACCAATAGCCCCAAAATTGTGTCATTTGTGCTAAAATCCTATGATATCAGATCTAGATTCTTCCTATGAATTATAGGGGAGGAAAGTTTTCTGTGACTGTCTTTGGGTCCCTGGCTGGTTCTAAAAATTAAAATAACAAATACAGATCAATAGGAAAAAAGTGTACAAATTTTATTAAATTCTTACATGTAGATAGGAGTCTTCATGACAGAATAAAGACCCAAAAAAGTGACCAGAGCAGGAAGTTTTTATACCTTTCAGGGAAAAAAAATTTGAAAAATTGACAAAATAAAGGGGTTTGACCCATGAGTAGAAAATGGTAAAGATGAGGGTTGGTTTGAAGATTCCTCTGGTATGTTCTCTGGGCTGAATAAGAGTCTGTCTTCAGTAAAAGAATTTATTTCCTGCCTTTAGGTTGAAAAGGGGGGTTGGGGAGCTTTTTCAGCATTTACTGATTCTTAATTACTTTCGGCACAAAATAATTTTTATGTCAAAGAACGATATTCTGGGGTGATATATTCTGGTTTCCTTCAGAATAAACATAAAATATCTCTCCATTTATTTCCACCTATTTTTATTTCTTCTATCAGCATTTTATAGCTTTCCTTGAGTGAACTTGTATATATTTTATTAGATTTATACCTAAGTATTTAATTTTTCTTTTTTTTTAAATTTATTTATTTTTCCCTTTATTGATTTTAGAGAGTGAAGAAGTGAGAGGGGGAGAGAGAGATAGAAACATCAATTGGCCACCTCCTGTATGCCCCCCACTGGGGATCAGGCCCACCACCTGGGCATGTGCCTTCACCTGAGTCAAACTGGCGTGCTTTTGGTGCATGGGTTGATGCTCAACCACTGAGCCACACCAGCTGGGCTATTTCATTTTTCTTTGGTGCTAATGTAAATGTTTGTGGGGTGTTTTGCTTGTTTGTTTTAATTCCAATTTTCAACGTTGATATGTAAGAAAACAATTGGTTTTGGTATATTAACCTTGTCTCCTGAAACTTTGTTATAAACAGACATCATTTTTTATCCTGTAGATAATCAAAGCCATTAAAAGCATTAGCCAAGAGTGTTCCACTACTATATTTATGCTGAAGGGACTGATCTGCAGGTAATATGTAGAATGGGTTGAAAGGAAAGAGTCTAGAGGTAGGGAGTCCATGTGGGAGGCTTTCTTGTGAGCCCTCCATGAGACAAGGAGATTCTGAAAAGGGGTATTTGCAGCACCAATGGAAAGGTAAGAATAGATTCAGTAGGAAAATACCCCACATTTTCTCTTCTTCTTCATGCATATGGGTCTTTTCTCACTGAGTTTCTTTCTGAGGATGCCCTTACCATCCTCTTCACCTAGCTCCTAGTTAATTATCAAATCTCAGTTCAGGTGTTGTGCCCTCCAATGATTTCTCCTCTCTCCTCTGTCCTCGCCCTCCCCTTCTGTTTTCTCCATCAGAACTGGAAGTGCTATTTATACTTGTTAATGTATAATGTATTCGTCTCTTTCACTAGATCACGAGCTCCTGAATCTGAGTAGCACAGTATGTGGTCTAATAAAAGTACACATAAATGAATAATTTTTGAAAGTCTTCTGTTGGAACTGACAACACTACCAAGTATATAGCAGCTATTGTTTCAGGTTTGCTTGGTATATTTTCTTTTAAGAAACTGAAATCATAGGGCTTCAAAAAACTGAAGCTTCAGATCAGCAAGGAAGCACTCATCCTATATCAGGAAGTGATCACTTCCTTAAAACTGAGTTTTGAGTTACACTGTTTTTTTAAGTAACCTTACTCTTCCTGTGTCTGTAGTGATATTGATACGATTTTAAACAGGAAGTTTGAAGGTGTAAACATCTCATCAAAAGTGTGTGCAAGAAGTTTATCTTCCAAGCCCTATGTGACCCTTTGCTCAGGGCTGAGAACTCCTCTGCCACAGGCGTGCAGCTCTGGGCGGCCTGGGGAAGAAACAGCCTGCAGAAGCCTCTGGGCCTGGGACCATCTACTGCTTCTGTTTCCAGCGGGAGCCCCAGTGTGGAGACCTGGTAAGAGAACCTCCGGGCTGGGAAGACAGGGACAGGGAAGATGGCTGGGAGGTCCAGGTCAGATGGAGGGTACATAGTTCAGGAGGAAATTAAAAGACAAGGTTTCTGACACGGGGGCCGTCAAACACATGAGTACAGGACAAAGAGGCGAATCAGATTTGCCAATAACAGGAAAGGTCTTACTTCATATTCCTCCTCACTGGGCTTCAGATTGGTCATAGAATTGTAAGACTCAAGTGACAAAGAAGATGGTTAGGAAAAGAAAAAGAGCTATGAAATCTTAAACGGCACAATAAAAATCTAAATGGTTATAATAATAATTTTGCTTTTATTGCTTCTACTACTACTGTTATCTTCCATCTTTCTACAGAGAAAAGATGGCGCTAGAACTCCTGGAACGCTTTCCTCTCCTCCTATTGCTGCTGGGACTATGGGGGCCAGTGTGTGCACTTTGTGCTTTGCCCCGGAATCTCACCAAAGCAAAGTGGTTTGAAATTCAGCATATACAGCCAAGCCCTCTCCAATGCAACAAGGCAATGAATGGTGTCAATAAGTATACTCAGCACTGTAAGCCTCTAAACACCTTTCTGCATGACTCCTTACAGAATGTGACTGCTGCCTGTAAGATGCCCACGACTGTCTGCAAGAATGGCCAGAACAATTGCCACCAGAGCTCAAAGCCTGTTACCATGACCAACTGCAATCTCACTGGAGGGAAGTATCCTAACTGCCGCTACAAAGATGCTGCCCAATACAAGTTCTTTGTCATTGCCTGTGACCCCCCTCAGAAGACAGATCCTCCTTATAAGTTGGTTCCTGTACACTTAGATAAGACTATTTAAAGTTATCACTTTTCCTCTCACTTGGTACAGGTTCTCTTATGAGCTCTTCTGCCTTTTCTTTTGTTGGTTTTCTTGGTTCCCACAGAAGAAAAAGGAAGCTATTGGGAGAATTAAAGGGTCAAGGACACCCGACCCGATTGGGACAAACAGAAAAAAATTCGTTTCTGCTTTGGAGCTCTGTGTGTTTCAAAGGAAGGCAATACGAAAGAGGGCAAAGAAGGGTCCAGACCTCCGTATTTCTAACTTGGAACTTCAGCGAAGCTTTGTTGCACTGCATTAACAGCAATAAAACCACTTTCTGCTGCATTTTAATGTGTTTGAGAACCCGTTTGTTACCAGAAGAGGACTGGTACCAAGGCTGGTCTGCCCTGGCACGGTTAGGAAATGAAATGGGCACCTCTGTGGTGTCATGGGAAAAGGACTTCCGGTACACTCACGTAGAAGGAGTTTAGTGATAGAGGCAAGATTTATTAGAGCGAGTGACAAGTGACAGTACACTCTGAGAGGCCAAGACAGCAGTCAGGCTGCAGGGTAGCAGCTGCCTGGACTCAGGAAAGGAAGTTACAGAGGCAAAAGGAGGGTCTTCTGCTGCTGCTCGCTGCTCCCGTGTTGTGGGGACCCTTAGAGTTTAGGAGGAAAGAAGGCAAATATTCGGGCCTGAAAGAAGGAAGGGCACAGGCGGGCTCCAGGAGGGCGTGTGCTGTGTTCTTTGTCTAGTTTCCATACATGTTCTTGGGTTTGGGGGAGAGCAGGTTTCTTTCAGACCACCCACTCCCTGGCTTTTCCCAGGCTTGTGCTAGTGCCATCCCGCTATCCACTCTTTTTTGTAATCTCCAGGCCCTGTGCCTTTCTCCAATCCAATCCTTTCCCCAGATTTTTCCAGGCTATTGCCCTCCCCGCTGTATGGTTGCCATTTGGCTCCTAGCACACATGCCTCGCTATTCTGTTTTGTCACTTGGCTTCTACTGCGCTTGCACCATGTAGGAGAAATTCCCCCTTGTAGCTTTCTCCCTTCCCTCATTAATGTAGCAAAATGATGCAGTTAACCTTCTGGGTGGCTGTAAAGCTATCCTTGCTGCCTAGTCAACTAAGCAGGATGTTTTGCTGTGTTTGGAAGAATGATGGATACTCCCCAGGGTGATTGTTCCATTCGTTCCCCTGTCTTTTGTTATTATCTAACTAACTGCTACTCCAATACTTCCACACCACTGCCAGCCTAGGGAGACCTGGCTTGCATTTGCCAGTTTTCCAAGGAGAACAATGTTAGCCCTAGGTGTAGGGGAAGAAAATACGTTTTTCTCTATTCTTACAGGTTCTTGGCTGAGAACCCTATGTATAGAAGACAGATTAATAAGAGAAAACCATGTTTATTACATGGGTACATGTGGGAGCCCCACAACATATGGGACACAAGAGGGGGCAAAGCATTGCGCCTTATATACCATCCTGAGCTAGGGAACTGGATACAGGTGGGGCAACAAGGGGTGGAAAGTAATTCACAGGAAGATGAAGAGTAAATGTTTGGCAAACAAAGGTTGCCCTGCCATGAAGATAAGTCTCTCCAAAGAAAAAGCGATCTCTGATAATAACTTTCTTCCTGATAGAGGCACTCTTTTAATGTAAATTTTCCTTATTAAAAAGAGTAACTTCCACTCTCTTTTCAGAGCTTCTTCTGTGTCTTCAGCTCCTCAAAATAATTTGTATGCCAAAGAGGTATATTTTGGGGTAGCATATTCTGCTTCCTTTCACAGGTCACTTTCACAGAGGGAGTTTCAGTTTCTTTGTCAACCTCTAGAGTTATTGGCCAAAAACCAATATAAGTCCAAGTGCTTTGTAGAGTGGTCAGTCTTTGAGTAGCAGCCAAAGACAATGCATATTGGAAAGGCCCAATATTGAAGTAGTTACAAGTCTGTCAATGACCAGTGCTTACAGAATGGTTCTTCCCAAACCAGACTGTTCTTTTAATAGATGTCTTACTTGGGTTCACCTTGTTGTGTTGGAACAGTAAGCCGGACAGAGGACACCACAGGTTCAAATAAGGAGTCTTTATTGCAAAAGCAACAAGGAGCCAAACAGAGGACGCCACAGGTACAAATGAAAGAGTCTTTATCGCAAAAGTCTGCAACTGCAAGAGGGCATATGCTCTCCAAATCTCACAGTCCCAACTGAGCTGAGGGGCAAGCTTTTAAAGGCAAAGCTGCATCCTTCTTGGACCTGAAGAAGGAACTATCCTGTGCAAATGATTGTTACAGAAGCCAAGATAAGCATTAGTCACTGGGCTATTCAGTTCCTGTTATTCAGAAACCATTAGGGTGAGTTTATGCAAGATGCATCCTGTTATGTAGGTCAACCATAACCTTAGATAAAGTTTGTTTATTTCTAAGGGCAATCAGCCTATTATTGGAAATATACCTAGGAAGGTCCATGGCCAATAAAAATAGAGTTGCTTGGTCTACTTAGCCAAGGGGGCTAGATCAACCTTGTTTTATACAACACATTTATGTTATGTCTCAGAAACAAAGAATAAAATATGACCTTTTAGGTTTCAGGAGCCTGGATTCCAAGGGTGGTGGATATTCTGGGCCCTCGAATTGGGAAGAAAAAGGCAGACAGGGCAACTTGGCACCTGAGAAGGTAGGTACGCAGTAGGGGTGATACTGAAAAAGAGCATGGGTAATCTCCCCTGTTGTTTCTGGAGGTGGATTCCTTGCAATATCCTGAGAAAAGCAATATTCTGAACCTCGAACAGGAGAATGAGTGACTTTTTGCCCATGGAATTATACCTCTGGGTTTCCAAAGTGCCATTTCCTTTAGTCCAGTCATAAAAGAAGTGTAGCTGGGGTTTCAGTAGAACTGAAATCTGAGCCACTGTTCAGAATTTCCCTTCCATGTTGGAGCCAGGTCCAGTACAGCATCATGCTAGTTGCAGTCCATTAGTCCATCGTGTGTGGGGTCTGCATGGCCGAGGGCCACATGGGAGAGTGCCAGGAAGCCAAGCGGGATCCAGGAACCAAGTGTCCCAAGAGGAACCAAGAGAGTGAACTTCTTTGTGTAGGGGATTATATATCCCAAATCTACATGCCCTTGCAATGGCCATGCCCATTCTGGCAACGACCTCTGTGCCCAGGTGTGACTGTCAGGAAAGTAGCTTCCCCTTGTCATCCCTGCTTTACTGAGCATGGGGCATCTTCCCCATGTAGTTCCCTCCCCAAGTGTTTTGCAGGGAACATGCCTATAATGTCTGGCCTTCCCTTAGCTCCTTTTCTTTTATTAACAACTAGCTAATTACAGTGATATCAGGGGAGAACAATGAGCTAATTACAACAATATCAGGAAAAACTCTATGAGGTGACTTGAGTTCTCCAATTTAGAACAACTCTTAATAGTACCTACCTGTAAAACTGCTCTGCATTGACATATTACAATATCAGAGTCTTCAAGTAAAGTTTGTGGAGAGTGTTAAGAAGGACCTTTGCTCATGTTTGCTGTGAACCAGTGTAGGAAACTAGCAGCACCTTCAGAATGGGTCTGCAGATGGCATGCTTTGACCTGAGTGACAATCAGAATGGCTTTATATGCCACATAAGTATTACCTGGACATTTCCAGAGATTCTTGGAGAAAGTAAGCTGGTAAAAGTCTAAATTTCCTTTAATAAAACAATTCAATTTCATTCTTATTATTAAAAGAAACCCATGGATTGAAGCAATATGTGCTACAGAAGTTTTGAATTCTTAGAAATATTAGAGAACATATAATATTACTTTGAAGTAGCAAAATTAAGTGTGACATTGACATTCTGTTTCATCTTTTTTAGTGACCTTAAAATCATTGCAAACATATTTCAAGAAAAAATTAAAACAAAATTATGAGTGCCATTTTTTGCAAGACCTAATCCTCCTGTCCCAACTCCTCCCTCCTCCAACACTTGTAGTCACTTTTTGTCTCTGATCCAGGAGGGAGTAAGAATGAGGGTAACTAGGACAATCTTTTATGCCCAAACTCTCAGAAGGCATTAGTTTTTAAAAAAATGAACTACACTGACATGGAGACAATCTCAGATTTGTTTTCTTTTCTACATGTAATTAACGTATCCCGAGAGAGTCAAGATAACTGACTAAAGTAGGAATTCATTTGGCTGTATCTCTAAATCAGCTTAAATAACATAACAGATATTATGAATGCTCCCAAAGGTAGGCAAAGCATATAAACAAATTCAGCAAATGTTCTAGCAGCTCTCAACTCTGGTTTCATATTAAATCACGTGGGGATTTTTAGAAAAATATCAATGACTAGAAGAAGATCAATAACTAGAATATATATATTTCTGCTCCCCACCTCCATTTTGGCACAAAGATCCTAAAATCCTTGTGAATTCCTAAGTGACAAGAGCATCCACCTGAAGCCCTCTTATTTATCATACTTAATTCAAATTAGGCTAAGGAGAACATGCTAAGATCTCCTTCCTAAAGAAGCTTTCTCTGTCAGAATCTCCTGGACAGGAAATAGGGGAGGCTCAAACCTCCTTCTGAATCTTGTTTCTTAATAAAGAGCTTAAAGTCATTATCCCAAAAGAGCAGCTTCAGGGTGATAGAATTTTGGTCTCTTCAGTCCCACCTTTGAAACTTTAAATAATTAAGTTTCACATTCTACATTGCACCATATTTTATTAATACAATCATTTAGTCCTGAAAATAAATGTTTAGTTAAATTGTTGAGTCTCATTTCAAGAGTCATGGATATAGATGGGCTCCCAATGTGAGGCCTACATTGTGCAGCAAGCAATTAGGTATTTAATAAGCTGTAAGACCATAAAAACAGAAGAAAAAAAAACTAAGTGAATGATCACAGCAAATTATTAACCAGTTACGGAGTTTATAAGGCTCTCAGTCGAGAAGATTTCCAATGTAAGGCTCAAAATTTTTTTTGCCAGAATGAGGGCAGACAGTGTCTCTCTGATAGATTCTCCTGGTCTGCAATTTGAATGCCTCCAGTAATGTCATCAGGTGTTCAGGTAAATTCTGCATGGCTTACACAGCCTCAGTCACTGAGATTTTTTAAGCAGGAGGTGCTTTGGTGATTTCTCAAGTTTATGTCATGTCCTTCAGATGAAATTTGCCAAGGCTCAGAAAAAATTTTTCAGTTCTCAATAATTTCAGGTCAAAGAAAGGGAGAAAATAAAATATTAGTTCAAAAGGTTGTAGCCAAATATCTAAGAAAACTAGAAAAAATCAGGATCCAGTTCACAAGTGAAAAATGAAACTTTAAAGACAATTAACAACCAGAATCTAATATCTATAACTGTATATTATTGAAACAATTTTTCTCTCCAGAATCACCCTTATTTTTCTCAGATAGTCAAATTAAGAACATTTACTACATAAGTCTAGTTTTAATAAATTAGGTCAGATTATTTGAATAAACACAATAATAATTGATCATACACGCTTTCTTAAATCTGCTTTGCTGGAATTTCATAAGGAATCTCCAGATTGAACAGTATTTTAAATTCTTTATTGATTTTAGAGTGAGAGGAAGGGAGAGGGAGAGAGAGACAGAAACATCGATAAGAGAGAACATCATTTGGCCGCCTCCCGCATATCCCCCACTGGGTATTGAGCCCATAACCTGGGCATGTGCCCTGATCAGGAATCGAACCAGGGACCTCTTGGTGCATGGGTCAATGCTCAACCACTGAGCCACACCAGCCAGGCCAGATTGAACTTTAATTAGCCTCCCTGAACTAAGAAGCAAGGCCACGTAGTTGCCAGACTTTGCCTGTAATACCTCTAAATGTGGGTAAATTCCTTAGTTTTGAGGTCCCCAAAAATGTCAAGGTTGTTTTTGGCCATCTCCCAAGAAAGCAACCTTTGTTTCTTACCTAGAAAGACTGCTGTGAACCATATAAGCAAGGTACCAGACTGTTTTTCCATGGGGCTTTGATTGGCTTCTAAAGTCAATCTTAAGCCCTTGAAGCTTTCAGGTGACATTCAAATCTATGTATGTCTCTCAAATGTGGTATCCTAGTCAAAGTCTTCATTAATCAAACCGCTTTCCAACTGAGCTCTGTTATAAAAAGGTTCTTACTGAATTTACACAGACAATTATATTGCCATGAAAATAGTCATACTCATTAAGAGTTTTCGAATTCTAAAGGGATCTGGTAGTGAGAAAAATGTAAATGCTTCAATATTGTTTACAATGACATAATTTACCAAATTGTTCTAAGAAACACAAGTTTCCTTACATCTACAGCAAAAAAAGGTTTAAAGGTCAGTGATATTTTGAACAAAAAGTTATAAAAATTGCCATCATTCTCAGTCCATTCAGTCCCATAATCAATTCTTATTTATCCTGATCTTCTGCCAATGTTTTATGAATGCAGTTATTACTTAGAATTATATGAACCTTCATCCAGTTTAAAAGCTTGACCTGAATATTTATTCTCAGACACTCTATTTCAAAATAAATCAGAGTTCTTTTCATGGATCTTTCTCAGGATAAAATATATTTGCAAAATCATCAGAGTAAAACAATGACTGTCTGTAAATGACAAAAAACTTATAATATGGCTATCGATCTGACTGTAACGCAACTGACAACTGCTTTTCCCATAGCATAACATTTCAAG